ACATTTGGTCCAGTATTCTGTCTTTAGCAATGCCTACAGTGATGCCACAGTTGCGAATACTATTTCATGTTCAATGGTTGACTTCTATGCGCTTCCTTGGCCCTTCATGGCTCCATGGGGTTCCTCAAGTCATGTTACATCACAACATGTTACATTTTGTTGGTCTTCTGAAATTGTTGGCAATTTTTTTTGGTTTTCCTGAAAATGATTGTAGTTTTTCTGTGTATCTTTTAGAACTAGATTCCATGTTTCATATGACAGCTAGTATAAATGTTTTTAGTGTTATTAATCTTATAGTAATTACATTAACACTAGGAAGGGGCATATCACATAATCTGCCTGCAGGATCCTAGTGCTGGAGTATACTTTATGAAACAAACTGTCGGAAATGCCTGTGGAACAATTGGGCTTCTTCACGCCATTGCTAATATTACTTCAGAGATAAATCTTGGTCAGTACTTTATTCCATGGATGAACAGTATCATGTCCAATTCATTTAACCTTTGTGGTGTTCTTCATATATATCATTACTTTTTATTGTACACATAAGAGACTGCATTTTTTCTAGTTTTGGTCCTTTTGAATATTGTTGTTGGTAGCTAGTCTTTGTATTCCTAAGAGATGGCTAAATGTCCCTAGTGTGTTCTGTCATTGCAGTCATAATTGCCAATAGATTTCCTCATGATTTCTTCATCTCCTCTCAGATTGTATGTTGTGTACTGTAAGATGCTGAGTTTACCCAATCTATTGAGGAGTAATGTCATAGATGCAAAAGAATAGTCCATAGAGAAGGTAATTTTACTAAAAGCTAAGGATGCATTGCATGGGCGTGATTTTACTACACGACAAGGGTAGGCCTATAATATGCATCTCAATGAAAAGTATGTTAGCAAACAGATGATATTCTGTACTTCTACGTGTGGAGTTAAAAGTGAAAATGGCGTGTCCTCTCGTAATTAGTAGTTCTGAATTTGTTTTGCCTTGTAAACAAGAATATTAAGGCCAATTTGTGCTACAAATGGTAAGGTAACCGAAATTTAGAATTCCTTTTATTTGAAGCTGTGATCTTGTCTTGATCTATTTTCTCTTTCTGTTGCTTTCTGTTGATTGCAGCTGAGGGCTCATACCTGGACAAGTTCTTTAAAACTACAGCAAACATGAACCCAGAGGAGGTCTTAATCTTACTTATTTTTTCTTTTAGAAATGAAATTTTAATGCAAGCTTATCCAGTTGATTTGCTTTGATGTGCTTAACAGTATATTTACTTTTCTGGCAGCGTGCAGTATTCCTTGAAAATGACAGAGAAATGGAAGTTGCTCATTCTGTGGCGGCTAATGGTGACACAGAGTCAAGAATTTGGCAAACATCTCTCTCTTTTTACTCAAGTGAATCATTGCGAAAAAGGCGAATAATTATATACTTTACCCAGTAAATATTTTTCTGGCATTTGAAAATTTTGAACATGGTAATTAGATCTTTTGACAATATGAGTATATTTCCTAGTCTTCAACCAAAGGAAAAGGAAATTCCTATAAGCATTTGTCAATTAGTTTTTCCTGTTTCATTAATTAGTTTTTCTACTAACTTTCTAATGTGGCTTGACTACATATGTTCTATGTTATTTCTTTATTCATTTATTCATAAATTTATTTACTTTTGCAATTTGGTGGCAAACATTCTGAAATGTTCTTTCTTTTTAGCTACTTTTAAGTTGTTCAAAGGAGATTCTGTCTTCGTCTGACAAGTTTCCATTTACAGGCTAGAGATAACGTGGACACCCATTTTATTTGTTTCACATGTGTGAATGGTAAGTCTTTCCATTTTGCCTTCCATATATACACATGCCCTTTCCCCACTCCTCTTGCTCTGTAAATATTTGTTTGTCTTCTTGAGTATACCTTTTATTACTAAATCAAGATACAACATCTTATTAGTTGAAAGCACACGCAGTTCAGGCTAAATTATTCATTGCTTAAAATTGGCTTTACTGCATCTGCAGTCCACTAGTTTTCAAGTATTTCTCTATTCTATTCCCAAATCATATCTGCTATTCAATTTCCTCCTGGACTTGCGAAGTCCTTTTGGGCTAATTGAGTACTGAGTTTGTATTTTCTGCTATAAGGCCTATAATGTCTATGGTTCACTGAAACATCTTACGATCACATGTTCTAAAAGCTCAGAAAACTGGTTTAGGAGCTTGCAGTCATTTCCACGGTAGTTCCAAGGTTCTACATGCTTGCAATTGTTGCTTTTCTTTCACTCTTGCAAATTGTTTAAATTGATAATGCCCAATTAGTTTCAAATGTTGGTTATATTATCTAAAGGAAATTGTTCCCTGTTTGACATGGTCCATGTACTTTTGCTAGTCATACTTAGCATACTTTGTGATATAGCTGTTTGGACAAGTTAAACATAGATGTAACGTGTGAAGCCTTATACAGGACAACTTTATGAGCTTGATGGAAGGAGGTCCGGACCAGTTTCACATGGTTCTTCCTCTTCAAGCAGCTTGTTGCATGTAATGTTACTTCTTTCTCTTCTTTTTATAATTCTGGTGCTTGGATAGGAGCATGTACAACACATTGCATGAATGGGGATGAAAGTTGGTGGAAAAGAAACTAATCTCAGACAAAGCTTAATGCCACTATACGCTTTTTTTTTTTGGTTCAAAACATTTTGGTGTTTTTTCAATTTTATTCTCCTGCAGTAGAGAAGATGTTTGTTTATGCATCTATTTATGTTGTGAGTTTTAGAACTGTCGATGTACAATATATTTTGCCTTCTTTGTCATAAGTACCAGATACAGATGCCTTACTTGATCTTTGAGTAGCTTGATTCTTTTCCCAGAGTTGTCAGATGAGAGCAGGGTCTTTTAAGTTTTTATGGTTTATTCTGGGCAGTCTTTTAAGTTGTCAGATGTACATTTTTGAACATGTTCTGAAAAATAATTGTATAAATCAAGACAGAATGAAAGAATCAAACTCAAATTTTAGATGATATGGAGAAGATTTCTCAATTGCTGTCTTGGATAGGTGTTGGGTTGTAATGAGGATTGGGTACAAAGGAGTAAGATCAGAATACGCCTGTATGCCAAATTATTAGAAGTTCAACGACGTGCCAACAGAATAGTGATGCTGTATGTAATATCCATTGAAGCTACAAGCAGAGATATCTTAAACTCGTGTTGAGCATCGACTCGTCCATGTTCTACTTTTTCCTCTTTTAGATGAACTTCTTTGATGTTATGTGCAATTTTGTCCCTTTTCAGTTACCCTGTTAAGTATTTTCTTGGCGTGTTGTTAACATGGGGAGTTTAGGATACGAGGGAATGCAATTAGAGAATGGGTGGACCTGGTGTCAAATATCTTGGATAGTTTTGCATGGCCGGCATATCCGATAGAAAGGAGCTATCAGCCTATCCAATGCTTAGTCAACTGGATTTTATGTTAGTTTCTATCTGCTCATGTCCACACGACTCCAAAGTTGTCTGCTTCCTAGTTTCTGTCTGCCTGCTCATGTCCACATGATTCGAAAGTTGTCTGTTTCCCTAGTTTCAGTTATGAAACGACTGTTTTTATGCTTCAGTTAAAGCTGGACGTTCAACTTCTCTTTCTGAGTTAATCACATCGATTGTCTCTGCAGGATGCAGCTAAGGTTATTCGGAAGATGATGGAGAAAAACCCAGATTCACTAAACTTCAACGAGATGGCCATTTCTAAAAGTGTTCGAGGAGAATAGACGATACAACATGAACATCCATTGCTGCCATTGAGAAGTTGACCCACCTGGCTCTACCAGCTTCTTGGCCTAAACCATGAGGACTGTTATCGTTATTACATGTAATGACAGAACCAGTTTTACCAGAATTATTAAGTCCTGGAAGAAGTCAGCTGTAACTCACAAAACTAAGTAGGTATATGTTTGCCTGATAAGTAAATGATGACTAGTTACTGCCAAAATTTCTTCAGTACAATCATCTCGATGCTGCAGCAATTTGTACGGCAAATTTGCTTCATTTTCACCTAGGAGAGATATCGACAATAGCCAGTTTGGCAATAGTGACAGAGATTCATTGGCAATAGTGACAGAGATCCCTGGCTGACCTTCGCAATTGCCACTGGCAATTCTTAAACTTGCCGTTTGGCAATTGTCGACGGCAGTTAGCCAGGGAAGGAGGAAAAAATATCCAATGGCAGTAGTGGCAGAAATTCATTGAAATTCATGGGAACGGGCAATGAGTTGATTGTTGCCAACATTTTGGTTCAAGCCTGATGTTGCAAAATTTGTTATTCTTTCCAAATTTGAATTAAACTTGAATTTAAACCTACCTTTTTTCTTTAAGAAATTTGAATTGACAAACCTCGAACTGACGTTGACATTATGCCCAATCTGAGCCGTGAACTGAGATTATGCTCAATCTGAGCCGTGAACAATACTCAGTTCACGGTAAAATCTCTTACTTGCAATCTTTCTCATGGCAATCTTTCTCATTTAAAGAGAGAATTTAAAATCTCTTACTTACAATCTTTTGCAACTGTCGCACTTTTACCGCCCACAAGAAAGTCAAAATCAAATATCGCCACTTCTAGCCACAATTAATACACGATTCTAGTCCAACACTTCCGTAAGGACCGTAACATATAATTGATCTCAAAAGTTGTAGCCTAGCGGGTTTCTTGTTTGAAAAAAGGTAGCAATCTCTTTCAATCAGGATATTCGCTCCTAGCTTACAAACTAATAATCCAAGATCAACAAATTTAAAATGCAAAAAACCCACAAATTAATCATAGAAAAAACAACCAAAAAAAAAAAGAAAAAGGAAAAACCTTGGAATTAGGAGCCTAAAAGAAACACAAATGTATTAGCACACATGAAACGTATCCAACGACAAACTCGCAGAACAAGCTGAGTTGAGAGAAACAGCAACTCATCTCCACTCTCTACAACAGTCACAACAACAATTGAATTGCCGATTAACTAGGAAACATACAAAGTCACAATCCCGGCTAATTAGAGCACAAAGTTTATTCATGCATCATCATACATCAATTGCTTGCACAATATTCCATCAAGTATCTTGATCTGGGGAACCTTTAATCTGCTGCTGAGCCTGCTGCCCAAAATGTTCAGCTTTGTCCCTCATCTCCTTAGCTGCATGAGCAATCTTTTCTCTCGCACGATCCAGCTGATCTGCCCCGATGGGGTGCTTCCCAGTCGCATACCTGAACATCCAAAAGAAAACAAAGCAAAAATGAGCAATCTTTTCTATCACACGATCCACCTGATCTGCACCGATAGGGTGCTTTCCAGTCGCATACCTGAACATCCAGTAGAAAATAAAGGTGGCAGTTACGCCAAGACCTCCAGAGATAAAGAACCCTGCAAGAATCAGAAAGAAGGTTACAGCAGCTGGGACTATCACAGGACTGAAAATCACCAAAAGGGGCGTTGCCAAAACTAGGCCTATTATTGTTCCAGCCAGTGTCAGCCCCGACAGAAGCATGAGTGAACCCCCCACGGTGACTGCTGTGGTGGTTTTTACCAGCTGACTAGTTGAGTGCTGTGTCTGCGGCTGGTCAGGGCGTGTTGCCATTTCTTTTTTTTTTTCCTTCCAATTTTTTGTTGGGATTTTCAGCACAATGGATGGAAATGGAGTTGGGAATTGGGATGTGAATTGGAGAAGGGAAAGTGGAGAGAAATGGATTTGTTGGTGTGTATATATAAAATAATATAACCAAGGCTGGCTTGTCGTGGTGGTGTCACGTGAGGGGAGGGTCGAGTGTGACGTGTACGGTGCATGATATGGATCGTTTGGGTCGCTGACACGTATGTTTTCCGGGCTGATTATCTATAGCAAGGGAAACCAAACACTGGGATGTGCATGGAAGATTGTCGTCTCCTGGGCGATAATATCAGGGTTGTGGGGGAATTGGAGACCTGCTTCAAGGTTTTAGGCTGCTACTATCTGTTTGGGACAAGGGGCAGGCAGGAAAGGTGCACCCGTTACTTACGGTTTTGGTCATTTTTAATCGCGTGTTACTTTAGTTGCATACGGTATAATTTTATTTACACAACATATAATTTTAGTATAAAATTTTACGGGTTTTACACATATTGTGAAAATTGATATATAATTAGTGATCTGAATCGCAAATTTTTTTTAGTCAAAATCTGGCCGTGAACAGTTCAGGAGCGGTCATCCCCTTATCCGTTTGTTTCTTGATGCATACATCCTTTGATGCAATGATGCATATATTCTTAACTACTTTACTAGCAAAAAGTGAACGAAGAAGATGTGCTTAATTGATGTCAGCCCCTCAATAGGTAGTTCAAAACTGAAAAATAAATTCTTGCTGTATCTATATCGTGTAAGCAAAATGAAATTGGCCCTTTTCTGAGAGGTTTGTAAGGATCATAAATATCTACCTTAGGTTTTAGAAATCATTCTACTAGAGCCCATATCGTGTAATGTTGTAGTATTTTTTATTTTTTTGGAAATAATAGATGATTTTATTGATAAACTAAATTTTATAGCATTTGAGCAACGGTCCATATCGTGTAATGTTGTAGTATTTGCTTGCCTTGAATAGGAAAAATGGCCAAATTCATTCCTGAACTTTTTTCTAGAGTCGATTGAGTCATTAACTTTCATTTCTGATCAATTTATTCTTTAAATTTAATTTTTGAATCCAATTAAGTTCCTTTGTGTCAGTGCCACCACTTAAAAGGAATCGGATTTCTAATTTAATAGTTAAATAAGGATATTTTAGGAACTTTAGGTATAAACTATAATCAAACTAAGTAAATTAAAAAAATCAATAATATTTGAGGTATTTTTAAAATTTAAAACTTTTTTAAGATTTAAAAAAAATTAATTAATTTATTGACCCTCCCCCTCCCTTACCTCACATCATCCATTTCAACAATTGAAAAGGCATTCAACAAATTCAAAATGCATTCCAACAAACGATAAATAGCCTCTTTCTACTAGCTACCAATTCCACCGGATTTTACAGCAACACAAGCAATTTGCTTTGAAATGCGTTTGATAAATTCAAAACATCTTCAGCAAACCTGAAGAAAAACTAAGACGATTTTTAGAAATTGTGGAACTATTAGTATGAAAGCAGAGGGTGAACATCAGCCAAAGGCCGGAGTGATGATTATGACAATGCAGCAATTGTGGCTAACGAATGCTCCAGCAGCGATTGCGTAAATGGCTGGGACTTCTTTTCTCCATCAGCCATAATGGTAGCAAAAGTGATAAAATTTGCATATTTATGCTATTTTTACTTGAGCCAGAAAGCATTTGTAGATTTCCTCTTCAACTTTCTCAATTATAATATAAACTCAAAGGTGGGGGAAAGAGGGTAGGGAGAGAGAGGTGGAAGGAGAAGGAGGCGGAGGTTAGTGATGGAGGTTGGTGGTGGAGAGAGGGATAATTCAAAAATTTCAAAATACTCTTATTTAATTGTTAAATTAAAAGTCAAATTGCTTTTAGGTGGTGGCACGTGCCGTAGAAGGTTTTAATTGGATCCGAAAATTAAGTTTATGTATTAAATTGGTCAAAAATAAAAGTTAAGGATTAAATCGATCCTCACAAAAAGTTTAGGGATGAAATTGATCATTTTTTCGTCATGAATTGCATGGCAAGATTTGTCTGGAATTACTCTTGGATACTGTGCGTAGGGAATCGGTCACTGTATTCAAAACAAGATGATATGTAATTAATTTTCTTTCAAAATGTCTGTGTAAGTTTTACTATTTGTAAACATTTAATTCCTGAGTCTTGATTCAATTCCTCTTTTTCTCATTTCAACTTCTTAAATCTCATCTCCCTCTCTTACTTAATAATATTAATAAAATTGATAAAAAAAAAGAAGAAGATGATATAGGTCTCCACTAGGCCCATTACGCATGGGGCATTTGAAGGTTATCACTTATCAGAGGAAGGTAATGAATTGTGGATGATTCTCCTTGGCAGGTGCTTTGTCTTGCTTGGAATATCATAGGTCTCGGAGCCTTTTCGGAATCTTAAGCTGTTGCTTTGTTTCTCCCCACTGCCCTGCCAGTATGACGTTTGAATCCATTATCACGTGAAACACGTTTTTAATAGACAACTTGTCATCTGCAGAGTAATGCCAGGTCCATCTGTCTTTCACGCTTGTTCGTGCGGGAGGTATGCTCTCAATTAAGTCCGTTTCATGCTGCCAGCCAATTAATTATAGCATCAATCTTACTCTAATTCCAACAATGACATCTCAATCATGGGTTGTAATGAGGATTGGGTACGAAGGAGTAAGATCAGAATACGCCAAATTAGTAGAAGTTCAACTGCGTGCCAACAGAATAGTGATGCTGTGTATAATATCCATTGAAGCTTAAACTCGTGTTGACCAATGACTGGTCCATCTTCTACTTTTTCCTCTTTTAGATGAACTTCTTTGATGTTATTTGCAACTTTGTCACTTTTCTGTTACCCTGTTAAGTATCTTCTTGGTGTGTTGTTAACATGGGAAGTTCAGGATACGAGGGAATGCAATTAGGGAATGGGTTAAATGTATTGGATAGTTTTGCACGGCCGGCATATCCGATAGAAAGGAGCTGTCAGCCTATCCAATGCTGAGTCAACTGGATTTTACGTTAGTTTCTATGTGCTCATGTCCACGTGACTCGGAAGTTGTCTGCTTCCTAGTTTCAGTTACGAAACGACTGTTTTTATGCTTCAGTTAAAGCTGGACGTTCAACTTCTCTTTCTGAGTTAATCACATCACAGTTAAAGCTGGACTTTCAACTTCTCTTTCTGAGTTAATCACATCGGATGCAGCTAAGGTTATTCGGAAGATGATTGAGAAAAACCCAGATTCACTCAACTTCAATGTGATGGCCATTTCTAAAAGGGTCTGAGGAGAATAGACGATGCAACATGAGCATCCATTGCTGCCATTGAGAAGTTGACCCACCTGGCTGCTCTACCAGCTTCTTGGCCTAAACCATGAAGACTACTGTTATTTTGCGCTCGTTATTACATGTAATGCCAGAATCAGTTTTACTAGGAGTATTAAGCTCTGGAAGAAGTCAGCTGTAACTCACAAAACTAGCAAGTTATATGTTTGCCTGATAAGTAAATGATGACTAGTTACTGCCCAATTTTCTTCAGTACAATCAATCTCGATGCTGCAGCAATTTGCAGGGCAAATTTGCTTCATTTTCACCTAGGAGAGATATCGACACCGTTTGGCAATAGTGACAGAGATTGATTGGAAGGGGCTGACCTTCGCCATTGCCACTGGCAATTCTTAAACTTGCAGTTCGCCTGGGAAGGAGTAAAAAATATCCAATGGCAGTAGTGGCAGAAATTCATGGTGTTAACAACAGCGAGTAGCAATAGCGGCAATGAGTTGATTGTTGCAAAACCTCCTGCTCTTACTTACAATCTCCCTCATTTCTACCGCCCACAAGCAAGTCAAATATCGCCACAATTAATACACAAGATTCTAGTCTAACACTTCCGTAACATAATGGGTCTCAAAAGCTGTAGCTTGGCGGAATTTTTGTTTAAAAAATGGTGGTACTCTCTTTCAATCAAAGATATTCGATCCTAGCTTACAAACTAATAATCCAAGATCAACACAGTTAAAATGAAAAAAAACCCACAAATTAATCATAGAAAAAATAACCGAAAAAAAAGAAAAAAGAAAAAGCATGGAGTTAGAAGCCTAAAAGAAACACAAATGTTTTAGCACACATGAAACTGATATATCCAACGACAAACTCACAGAACAAGCTGAGTTGAGAGAAACAGCAACCCATCTCCACTCTCTACAACAGTCACAACAACAATTAATTCGCCGATTAACTAGGAAACATAAAAAGTCACAATCCCCCATAATTAGAGCACAAAGTTTATTCATGCATCATCATACATCAATTGCTTGCACAATATTCCATCAAGTATCTCAAACTCGCAAACCTTTAATCTGCTGCAGAGCCTGCTGCCCAAAATTTTCAGCTTTGTCCTTCATCTCCTTAGCTGCCTGCAGCCCAAAATTTTCAGCTTTGTCCTTCATCTCCTCTAAATGTTCAGCTTTGTCCTTCATCTCGTTAGCTACCTGCTGCCCAAAATGTTCAGCTTTGTCCTTCATCTCCTCAGCTTCCTGGCGTCCAAATTGTTCAGCCTTGTCCTTCATCTCCTTAGCTGCATCAGCAATCTTTTCTTTCGCACGATTCAGCTGATCTGCACCAATGGGGTTTTTCCCAGTCGCATACCTGAACATCCAATAGAAAATAAAGCTGGCACGAGCAATCTTTTCTCTCACACGATCCAGCTGATCTGCACCGATGGGGTGCTTCCCAGTTGCATACCTGAACATCCAATAGAAAATAAAGCTAGCAGTTACGCCAAGACCTCCACAGATAAAGAACCCTGCAAGAATCAGAAAGATGGTTACAGCAGCTGGGACTAGCACAGGACCGAAAACCACCAAAAGGGGCGTTGCCAAAACTAGTCCTATCAGCCCCGACAGAACCGTAAGTGAACCCCCCACGGCGACTGCTGTGATGGTTTTTACCGCCTGACTAGATGAGCGCTGTGCCTGCAGCTGGTCAGGGCGGGTTGCCATTTTTTTTTCCTTCAATTTTTTGTTGGGATTTTCGGTAGAATTGATGGAAATGGAGGTGGGATGTGAATCAGAGAAGGGAAAACG